CTTTGTTAATAACCGCCAGCCTAAGCGCAATCATTGACACCTGTGCTAATCCCGTGCGACCCATTGGCCGGAGCCCGGCAAAGCATAGGTGTCGCCACATGCCATGGTGTAGTGGAAGCCCTCCGCCGAAGGGGCCCGGCATCTGCACACGCCGCCCATCTTCCTCGCACACGACAACCAGCACTGCATGTGCATGCACCTCGTCATCCGCAGCGCACGTCCCAGCTCACGCATGTTTCTGCAAAGCCAACAAGTACTATGGCCGTGCCACCTCGTGAGCCACCGTCCGCCGCAGCGCAGCTCGGCGCCGTCCGGCCGGTTTGTTCGCGGGCGGAAGGCGGGACGGAGGTGCTGGAAAACACACGCGGACACGGGGAAGTGGCCTCTGCCGGCCCCTGCTCCCGAGCGACGTCTCACCAGACGGCCTCCCTCTCCCTACAAAACACGCCGAAAGCTTCACGTCCGTGCTTTTGTCCATGGCTGGGGCAGCGCCTGTGAAGCGTCGCTGTGGACCGTTGTGCGCGTGCGGTTTAGCCAGCTCACGCCAACTCTCTAGCAGAGCAATTTTGTGCGGGAGATTCGGCGGGTGGAGATGCGCGTATCTGCTGAAACTGACGGCTCCTCGTCGTTTGCTTGGATGTGTTTGGTTGTCTTTTTTTTGCCACAAAAGAATGTGGTTGGTTCTCGATCGCCTACTCTTCAAGAGAGCTTTTATTTCTTCTCAAAAAGAAAACTTTTATGACCTTCCAACCAAAGGCCATGTTCATATTGTCGTCCCCTTGCTATAATTAGACAATATGTAATTAATTTACAATCACAACTGATAATCATCATATTGTAGTTTAATTTGCCCGGTATCCGTTTCTAATAGGGCCATGCATTGTGTTGTATCATCCACCCTACAAAGTTGCAGGGGCATGCACCTGCCCAGCCGTGTTGGTCATCCGATTGCTTTATGATCCGCAAAGTCATTGAATCCCACACGAGGACACAACAAATTTTAAAGTTTTAGTTTTTGAAACTTATGATTTTGTCAGTCATAGGTTCTAAAACCTACGATTCTATCGCTCGATTGTATCAAGTTTTAGAAGTTGAAACTAAATTTTAAAACCTCGTCGAAACGTTTTCAAAATGGATCTCATCTAATAGCCCTACAAGAAACGTGAATATGCAAATGAAACTTAATTTAAACTTTTGGTTCCAAGTATATGAAAGATTGAAAATTGAAAGCCAAAAGAAATAATGGGTTACGTGCCCGTCCTTGTGTGCTGCAAACCCCCTACCCCACCCACCCTCTTAGGTAACCTTGATCTCCATTGCATCATTATGGGTCATCTCTGACGATGTTCATTGAAACACCCCCTACTTCATGCACCCTCTTAAGTAACCTTGATCTCCATTGCATCATTTTGGGTCATCTCTGACGATGTCCATGGAAACACCTCCTACTTGTCCGTGGACATGTCCAGACATGTGCGGGGAAAATTTCTACTTGTCTGCAGACAAAGTACTACCCAACGACATCCCCTTCTTGTTTGTAGATAAATGGTTGCAACGACTGGTTTTCTTGTTGTCAATTTTGAACATTTAAGCATAGACATTCAAAAGTATCCAGGTGGGGTTTCATGCATCCTATGTATATGTAACATAATAGGTAGCTTAAACACACTAAAACCCTAGAGGGCGCTGCTAAAAGGGAGGTGGAACTCAAAGGAGGTTAGGCGGATGCTGCTGGCGTTGTCGTCAAAGGAGGACCCATCCGAGTCGTCATCGTTGTCCCCGTGACATCTCCAATGGACTGCGGTGACAACATTTGGGTGGGAGGTGGTCGAATATGATGGAGAGAGAGGGGGATAGATAGATAGTGAAGGAAAATATGCCCTAGAGGCAATAATAAAGTTATTATTTATTTCCTTATATCATGATAAATGTTTATTATTCATGCTAGAATTGTATTAACCGGAAACATAATACATGTGTGAATACATAGACAAACAGAGTGTCACTAGTATGCCTCTACTTGACTAGCTCGTTAATCGAAGATGGTTATGTTTCCTAACCATGAACAAAAGAGTTGTTATTTGATTAACGGGATCACATCATTAGAAGAATGATGTGATTGACATGACCCATTCCGTTAGCTTAGCACTCGATCGTTTAGTATGTTGCTATTGCTTTCTTCATGACTTATACATGTTCCTATGACTATGAGATTATGCAACTCCCGTTTGTCGGAGGAACACTTTGTGTGCTACCAAACGTCACAACGTAACTGGGTGATTATAAAGGAGCTCTACAGGTGTCTCCAAAGGTACATGTTGGGTTGGCGTATTTCGAGATTAGGATTTGTCACTCTGATTGTCGGAGAGGTATCTCTGGGCCCTCTCGATAATGCACATCACATAAGCCTTGCAAGCATTGCAACTAATGAGTTAGTTGTGAGATGATGTATTACGGAACGAGTAAAGAGACTTGTCGGTAACGAGATTGAACTAGGTATTAAAATACCGACGATCGAATCTCGGGCAAGTAACATACCGATGACAAAGGGAACACCGTATGTTGTTATGCGGTCTGACCGATAAAGATCTTCATAGAATACGTGGGAGCCAATATGAGCATCCAGGTTCCGCTATTGGTTATTGACCGGAGACATGTCTCGGTCATGTCTACATTGTTCTCGAACCCGTATGGTCCACACGCTTAAGGTTTCAATGATAGTTATATTATGAGTTTATAAGTTTTGATGTACCGAAGGAGTTCGGAGTCCAGGATGAGATCAGGGACATGACGAGGAGTCTCGAAATGGTCGAGACGTAGAGATCAAAATATTGGACGACTATATTCGGACATCGGAAAGGTTCCGAGTGATTCAGGTATTTTCGGAGGTACCGGGGAGTTACGAGAATACGAGGAAGGAGCAATGGGCCTTAATGGGCCTTAGTGGGAAGGACCAGGAGGTGGCGCGCGCCCCTCCCAAGCCCAGTCCGAATTGGACAAGGGGTTTGGGGCGCGGCCCCTCTCTCCCTTCCTTCCCCTCTTCCCCCCTTTCCCCCCTTCTCCTAGTTGGACTAGGAAAGGAGGAAACCTACTCCAACTAGGAGTAGGAATCCTACTCCCCTGGCACGCCCCTCCTAGGGCCGGCCTCCTTCCCCCTTGCTCCTTTATATACGGGGGCAGGGGGGCACCTCTAGACACACAAGTTGATCTCTAAGATCGTTCTCTTAGCCGTGTGCGGTGCCCCCTTGCACCATAGTCCTCGATAATATTGTAGTGGTGCTTAGGTGAAGCCCTGCGACAGTAGAACATCAAGATCGTCACCACGCCATCGTGCTGACGGAACTCTTCCCCGACACTTTGCTGGATCGGAGTCCGGGGATCGTCATCGAGCTGAACGTGTGCTAGAACTCAGAGGTGCCGTAGTTTCGGTGCTTGATCGGTCGGGCCGTGAAGACGTACGACTACATCAACCGCGTTGTCATAACGCGTCCGCTGTCGGTCTACAAGGGTACGTAGATCACACTCTCCCCTCTCGTTGCTATGCATCACCATGATCTTGCGTGTGCGTAGGAATTTTTTTGAAATTACTACGTTCCCCAACAGATAGATAGATAGGGGGTACAAGAAGGTTTGTGGATAGCGTCGGGCTGTCAGGTCGACATGTCGAATAATCAAGATGAAACGTACCCCTCCCGTTTGTTTGACATCGTATTGGGGGAGGGGGAGGGGGAGGGGGGGGGTAGACTGGCTGGATCGAAGTAGGAGAGCATGTTAAAGGCCCATTTTGTTCGTATTGTCCAATCAGGCCAAGTAGCGGTGCCCGTTGGAGACACACTTAACATCTTTGTCATGTGGGGGATGCTTCTTTCTTTTTCGACAACACCTGCCGGGATAATGGACATTTGCTACCCATATACTCCAGTTTCTCAACTTGACCACGATCCAGGCCATTATCTAATTGTTTGGATGTTAATACCTAAGGGATAATGCCGAACACTATCGGCTTGAGGCGTTACTAACTTGGAGTCACGGAGAGCACCCGTTACCCGTTAGACTTGTATGGTGCAAGGTGCATATGAGTACATATGAGTGAGACGTATTTTTTGCCATCTCTCTCTCTCTCTCTCCCAATCTCATTTTACCATCACAACTTCATCCTCTTTGGGCATGGCATTCCATGCAACCCTTCTACCATTCAGGTCCTCTTTTTAACGACATATCGGCGGCAACTATCTTGGCATGCCAATGTCACCGAAGCCAACACCCGATCGAAGGATACTATCGCCGCAACCGTCAACCGATCTCCATGTTGCATTTCGCAACGTACCATACCACACATGATCAACAGTTCATCGAATAATAGAAAAAACATCAGAGAGGTCTCATCTAAACAAGTGCGAGTTGAAGACGATCCAGTCAGTATTTCTTACCCATGTGATTCAAAATAAGTATCGTGTTTTAGTTCGGGATCGGAGTTAGTATATTAAATAATGCGGTAACATAAAAGGTCAGGAGATTATCCCTTTCCACAGCAAGGCCGTGCAAGAGAGGTTTTTATTCGTTTCAACTTTTGGGCCGTCTCTCTTCCGTTCCCTTCCAACAGCAACGAACGCGAGAAGAGGAACCTCTTTCCTTTATTGCGCTTTGGTACAAAAAAGAAAAGAAACGAGACCAAAAGCGAAGCCAAGGGGAAGGGGCAGGAGGACCCAGGAGAGAGAAAGGACGACAAAAACTCCACTCTCCCACCCACCCACGCCGCTCCACACCCATCCTTCTCACTGCTGCGACTGCGAGCAAGGGAGAGAGAGAGAGCGGGGAGAGAAAGGCGAAGCGGCTCTCGTCTCGCTCGCCCCCTCCACATACCACTCGGATCCGAAATTCTCAACCCCGCTCCCGCCCCTGCTCCACTCGTCCTCTACTCGTCGTCGTCCACTGCACGGCGACCCCAGGGCCAGCGCCCGGGGGCCGGCGGCCCGGAGCGGGGGAGAGGCGGAGGGGGGATGGACCCCGAGAAGCGCGGCTACAAGTTCCGTATCCTTTTTTTTTGTCTGCTTACGCTCCGAGAGCTGCTCTTGGTTCAC